GAATATATCTCTAAGATAGAATATGGCCATTTAAATAATTCATGCCATGTCAGTGAAACCGAACCCATCTTCCTCCCTCTCTTCCTTCTCTCCACTTCCCTCCACCTCCTTCCCTCCTTCCTTTCCTTCCTTCCACTTCCCTTCACCTTCTTTCCCTTCATCTCCCTTCCCTCCACCTCCATCAACCTCATTTCCCTCAACCTCCTTCCATCCCTCCACTTCCTTCCCTCCCCTCCCCTCCTTCCACTTCCCTACTTCACTTCTTCCCTTCCTTCCACCTCCCCCTTCCTTCCTTCCCCTTCCTTCCTCCTCCTTCCTCCTCTTCCTCCTCCTCCCAAACTCTTCCTTCTATTCCCCCCCCCTCCCTGTTCCTTCTCACCGGTTAAGAGAAAGGGGGAAGAGGGAAGGGAGAGATAAAGGTTAGGACTAAGAGAGGGAAGGAGAGACTGGGGGCTGGAGAGAGATAAGTAGGGAGAGACGGGGAGAAATGGGGAGAAGGAAGATAGGAATAAGAGAGATAGGCAGATAAAAATGGAAACATGGAGAAAAATAAGAGATACAAGGAAAGGGTTAGAGGAAGGGAGAAAACAGCATAGGAAAGCAAACAAATAGAGAAAGAGAGAGGAGAGAGACAGACAAATAGACAGATAGACAGACAAATAGACAGACAGACACAACTATATACAGGTATTGATATAATAATTCTATTGTTTAGGTGAAAAATACGTGGGTTTTTTTTTTCTTAAACAATGTGTACGTTTATTGTGTATATTGAGGGAATATTTGTGTGTACAGAAGAATGTGTTTAGAATGTTTGTGTGTACAAGAGAATGTATGTTGAATGTTTATGTGTATAGAAGAATGTGTATAGAATGTTTGTGTGTAGAGGAGAATGTATGTTGAATGTTTATGTGTATAGAAGAATGTGTTTAGAATGTTTGTGTGTACAGGAGAATGTGTTTAGAATGTTTGTGTGTAGAGGAGAATGTATGTTGAATGTTTATGTGTATAGAAGAATGTGTATAGAATGTTTGTGTGTTCAAGAGAATGTGTATAGAATATTTGTGTGTATTGGAGAATGTGTATTGAATGTGCGTACAGGAGAATGTGTATTGAATATTTGTATGTACAGGAGAATGTGAATAGAATAATGAAAGTGAGCGAAAATAATCTAAAAATATTCTACTAAAACCAGTATCCGATTTCATGGATAATATTTATATAAGCCTCGTAATACCGATAAGCTGAGAGTCCCGTGTTCGTTATCCGGCCGAAATAGAGGTTTGGGTTGCCTCCTTGTACACAACCCCTTGTACACCACCCCTTGTACACCACTTCTTGTACACCACTTCTTGTACACCACTTCTGTACACCACCACTTGTACACCACCCATTGTACACCACTCTTGCACACCACCCCTTGTACACCACCCCTTGTACACACCACTTCTTGTACACCACTTTGTACACCACCCTTGTACACCACCCTTGTACACCACTTTGTACACTTTACCCTTGCACACCACCCCTGTACACCACTTCTGTACACCACCCCTTGTACACCACCCTGCACACCACCCTTGCACACCCCTTGCACAGGCCACCCCTTGCACACCACACCCATTGTACACCACTCCTTGTACTGTACCTGTCTGGCTACCTGTACTCAACTGTGGCAGGTGAAGTCTTGTATTGAGGAAATATATCATTGTTGAGATGAAACCACACACACACACACACACACACACACACACACACACACACACACACACACACACACACACACACACACACACACACACACACACACGAACGTTTATTAGCAGGTATAATTAGTGTACACACCTACTCAAAATATCCTTAATTAATAATTGATGTTATATTGCACCTAATTAAGAGTATAATTGTTTAATATAAATATTATAGTAGAATTTAATTATAGTAAAACCCAAATATGTTTCTCTAATTATATAAAATTATAGAAAACGCAAATATGATATAATTCTCTTTTAACATTTTGTGGGTTATAATTTATCAAGTGTAATTAAACCCGGGTTATACAGCAGCTATTGAGCCTTTAATAAACATTCCGAGGGCAGAGTCTTCCCTTAAAATATTAGTGTAGCGGGTCTCTCTCAAATTTCCTACCCTCCATCAGAACCTCTAAATCAAAGAGAGAGAGAGAGAGAGAGAGAGAATAAGAGAAAAACAGAATGAAATTGGTGCTTGAGATCTGTCCCCATGAGAAAGAGAAAGAGAGAGACTGTAAGATAGAGAGAGAGAGAGAGTGGGTGGAGAGAGAGAGAGAGAGAGAGAGAGAGACCAGCATCAGGGGAGAGATAGGAGCACCACTTGAGAGCCAGACGAGGACCATCAAACTAACAAAAAAGTTGTCATCACTCCAGCATGTAATTGGGGCCTCCTTCACTCCTCCTTCTAGGTACACGATCCTCGCCACACAGAGGCTCCTTCACTCCTCCTTCTACACACAGAGGCTCCTTCCTCCTCGATCCTCGCCACACAGAGGAGAGCTCCTTCACTCCTTCTAAGTACACGATCCACGCCACACAGAGGAGAGGCTCCTTCACTCCTCCTTCTGGTACACGATCCTCGCCACACTGAGTAAGAGGCTCCTTCACTCCTTCTAGGTACACGATCCTCGCCACACAGAGGGAGGCTCCTTCCTCCTTCTACGATCCACGCCACACAGAGGGAGAGGCTCCTTCACTCCTCCTAGGGTACACGATCCTCGCCACACTGAGTAAGAGGCTCCTTCACTCCTTCTAGGTACACGATCCTCGCCACACAGAGGAGAGGCTCCTTCACTCCTTCTAAGTACACGATCCACGCCACACAGAGGAGAGGCTCCTTCACTCCTTCTAAGTACACGATCCACGCCACACAGAGGGAGAGGCTCCTTCACTCCTCCTTCTAGGTACACGATCCTTGCCACACAGAGAGGAGAAAGAGAGAGAGAGAGAAAAAAGACAAACAGACAGACAATAAAACAGAGATTGGACCATAACAAAACAAAACAAGAACATAGAAATAAAGTAAAGATTGACAAACAAACAAACAAACAAACAAACCAAACACAGAAACACTAAAAACCCTGGAATAGCCAAGGAAGGAAGTGGGGGAGAGGGGTGGGGGGTGAGGGGGTGAGAGGAGGGAAGGGTGGGGGTGAAATTGCCAGTGGGTGTTGTGGGGGGAGAAGAAAGGCAAAGGGGGGTGAAGGTGGGGAGCAAGAAGGGGGAGGAGGGGGATTACCAGTGTGGGAAAGGACAGTGGTGGTGGTGGTAGGTGTAGTGGTGGTGGTGGTGGAGGAGTGGTGGTGGTGTGTGGTGGTGGTGGTGGTGGTGGTGGTGGTGGTGGTGGTGGTGGTGGTGGTGGTGGTGGTAGGAGTGGTGGTGGTGGTGGTAGGAGTGGTGGTGGTGGTAGGAGTAGTGGTGGTGGTAGTGGTGGGTAGTGGTGGTGGTGGTGGTGGTGGTGGGGACTGCTCTCTCTCTCTCTCTCTCTCTCTCTCTCTCTCTCTCTCTCTCTCTCTCTCTCTCTCTCTCTCTGCTACGGGGCGTGGGGAAGAGAGGGAAAGATGGTGGGGCTGTGGAAGAATGGGAGAGGAGGGAGAGGAGGAGAGGGGGAGAGGAGGGAGAATGGGAGGAGGAGAGGAGGAGGGGAAAGGAGGGGAGGATGGGAGAGGAGGGAGGATGGGAGAAGGGGAGGTTAAAGTGAATATGGGGAGAGAAGGGGTAGGGAAGAGTGTGGGGGGGGGGAGGGGAGGATGGGAGAGGAGGGAGGATGGGAGAAGGGGAGGTTAAAGTGAATATGGGGAGAGAAGGGGTAGGGAAGAGTGTGGGGGGGGGGAGGGGAGGGTGCGTATGTGTTCAAGAGATAGAGAGAAACAAAATCAACAGACAGACAGACAAAGAGAATAGACAGAGAAATGCAGAGGGTGAGTTGAAAGAGGAAGAGCTAAGTAGAGAAAGAGAGAAAGAAAGATAGAGAGAGAGAAAGAGATAGAGAGATATATATCCTAGAAATTACAAAAAAATGGTCAGACGACAAGACAGACAGACACAGAGAAAACAACATCAGAGAGAAACTAACTCCAAAGAGAAAGAAAAGAAAATACTGAAAAAAAAGAAAGCGAGAGAAAGCGAGGGAGAGAAAGTGGTAATTAAAAACAAGATCCACTAACCCGTGCAGAATCGATCAAAGGCATTTCAGTGAAAACATGTGCTTGATGTTCCCCCCTTTCCCCTTCCTCTCCCCTTTCCCCTTTTCCCCTTCCTCCTTCTCTCCCTGCCCTCTCCCTATCCCCCCTCCCCAAGCCTGCTCCCCTTCACTTGAACACTGTCACAGAGTGGGGAGAGTGGTAGGGAGAGATGGGGGGAGGGAGATGGGGGCGAGGGAGGTGGGGGGAGGAGTTGGACAGGATGGAGGTTGGGAGAGGAGGGGGAGTGAGAGTGAAGAGGTGGAGGATAAATTTGAGGGGGCGAGGAAGGAGAAAAAGGGGTGAAAGAGGTGAGAAAAGAGAAGAGGGAGAAAATGAGAAGAGAAGAAAGAGGGAATGGGGAATAGGTAGAGATGAGGAGAAACACTAAAGAAGATAAGGTGGGGGAAAGGAAGAGAGGGAGAAGGATAAAAGAAAGGGGAAAGATAGGAAGAGGGGAAATAATGAGGATAAGGCAAGGTCAATAAGAGAGAGGGGTGGGGGAGGGAGGTTGGGGAGAAGAGATGGAAGAGGGATGCAAGGATGGAGAGAGAGAGAGAGAGAGAGGAGGGAGTGTGTGTGTGTGTATGTGTGTGTGTGTGTGTGTGTGTGTGTGTGTGTGTGTGTGTGTGTGTGTGTGTGTGTGTGTGTGTGTGTGTGTGTGAGAGGCAGGCAAGAGAGAGAGAGAGAGAGAGGAGGTGGAGGTGGTCGTGGTGGTGGTGGTGGTCAGGGAGGTTGAAGCTCCAGCCACCACCACCACCACCACCAGCAGGAGAGGAGAGCCAGTCCACAAGCGAGCGTGCTGGGGGAAAGACATCGCGGCTCGTCATTCCGTGTTTCCCCACCACAGACATACAATACCCCGGGTATATCAGTGCCGTGTGACGTGTATCCCCGCGAGGAATATCCACAGTTCCTCATTTGGTAAAGGAAAATCCTATACGAGTCCGAAATGTTTAAATATTTGAGTTTCTGTTTTTTTTTCCGAAATGGACACAGAGAGAGAGTGTGAGAGCCAGAGAGGATGTGGTGAGGCTGGTCCGTGGAACTCTGTGTTTGCAAGCTGAACCATCCCCCCGAACCTCACTCTTGCCTGCTGCCTCTCCCGTTCCTCTGTCTATGTCTCTCTCACTCACTAGCTCTCTGTCTGCCTGCCTGTCTGTTTGTCTCAGGGAATGACAATCACACCCCCCCCCCAGAGATATATACATCCCCCCCAAAAAAAAATCATTCCCTTTACCTTCCCTCCGTTGAAAATGTGTTTGAGAGACATTGGAAAACAAAATGAGAGATATTTCCCCAAATTATCTCCCACCTTACATCTCCCTTCCTTCGCCCCTCCCATCAATGTGTTTGAGAGACATTGAAAAAAAAGAAGACCAAAAAAATATATATAAAAAAATAGAAATTTACAGAAGCCAGAACGAGAGACACAGTAAGAGACATTATGCCCCTGGAAGCAGCCTTCATCTTTTATCTCGCCCAGTAACGATGCAATTCTTGAACAAACGCGAGACAGGGGAAAAAACTAAGTGGGGGGGAGAGGAGGAGAGGGAAATGGTATTTTTTCCCCCTCCCTTACTATTGGCTGGGAGAGAGAGAGAGAGAAAGAGAGATAGTGGTGGGAAAGGAAACATTGTTGAATCGAATAGAATCGTCTTCAAGTTTGGCGGTGATGACGAACCAGACATTGGAATTTCTACTTTTGTATTGTATTTGTCTTTGTGTGTTTGTTGGTGTTTGTGTGTGGGGGGGGTTGGTGTTTGTTGGTATTTGTGTGTGGGGGGTGGTGTTTGTTGATGTTTGTGTTTGTGGGGGAGGTGTTTGTGAGGGTGTGTGGTGTTTGTTGGTGGTGTGTGTGTGGGGGAGGTGTTTGTGAGGGTGTGTTTAGGAGTGATTAGTGGAATTTCTAACCCTTAATGTATTTGTGTCTTTGTGTGTTTGTGTATGGGGGGGGTGTTTGTGTATGTGTGTTTGTGAGTCTTAGTGGAAAAATCTACTCTTGTATTGTGTTTGTGTGTGATTACGTTTTTATGTGTGTGCGTGTGTGTGTGTGTTTTATGTTTGTATTTAACTGCGTTTGTGTGTTTTTTTCTATGTGTGTTTTATATGTTTGTATTTGTGGGTGTTTTAGAATATTGGTGAAATGCCTACTCTTGTATTGTGTTTGTGTGTGTTGTGTGTGTCTATGTACGTTTGTGTGTCTGTGTGTTTATGTATACGTATGTGTGTGTGTGTGTACTATCCAAATTTCTCTATATATTTTAACTATCTAAAAATATGGTAAAATTAATCCAAGAATTACTATTAAATATGATTATTTTGAACTATCCATTTTTCATAACTATCCAACTTGTGTCATTAAACTAACCAATTCTTCCGTGAAAAAGTAGTGCTCGCTCGGAACTAACCAAACCTCGTACGACAATATTAGTCAACTACCCGGGACTTACTTACGACTATCCACTATTCAGAAGTCACATAGAACTACTCTAACCCGTGTTTAACTATTCGAATACGAAACACGACTATCCAGTAACGCAGACAATTAATATCTATTCATCATGCAACTATCCTGACCCCACGTATTACAATTTCCTATCCTGTGGGCTACTATCCATGATATTTAACAGGTTTCTTATAACTGCTTATGTGACTATCCTGGCGCTCATAGTACTATCCTCTATCCCCAGTGCGACTATCCTATACTATCTACGACTCATAGCATCTGGCCACTACCGCTTAATGTCTCCTTACTGCCGATTTAATAGACGATCTTGGGTTGGAAATGAGCATATTCGCCGCGATATTAGGCGTTTCTATGCTCCGGGTGTTGACCAGGAGCATACTAAGGGAGGGGAGGGGGTAGGTCCTAGCTATAATCAGCGGCCACTCATGGAGCATATCGTTGTCTGTTTATAGTTGATGCTTTTTTGTTTTTATTTTTTAATGTATTTCGTGTTTTTGTGTTTATACCTACATGTAGATATATACATGTATTTGGGTGTGTATACTTTCATCTAGAGATATGTATATACAAGGTCATATACATTTATACACCGCTTTAATTACTGGATGAACGATTGTGACTCCTGATACTTGCTATATACAGGTGTGATTAAAAATAACTATCACTCGTTAACACCAATGAACGAACTCGTAAAATTGTCAATGACTGTTAATTTCGAAGCGTGGCGGACAAGAATTTTACAGTCAGTCAAAGTTCAAGCGTAAGAATGGTAGATTAAAACGTGACCCCCCGTGATGTGTTTTGGTACATACATACATACATACATACATACATACATACATACATACATACATACATACATACATTCATACATTCCAGCAACACTAGCCCATAAAAAAACACTTTTACCTCCACACACAGACACACATTATAATAATCTCTCTCTCTCTCTCTCTCTCTCTCTCGTTACAGGAATCCTGCTTGAGATGTAGGATTATTATTTCTTGTAGGATCTCTGAAGCTTTGTAGGATCTTTGAGATGTTGTATCATCTTTGAGGTGTTGTAGGATTTTTTTAGGTGTTGTAGGATCTCTCTGAGGCGTTGTAGGACTTCTAATGCTTTACTAGGATTCGTAAACTGCCATAGGACTGTGTTATAGGACTTATTGCATTATAGGAATTTAAGTACATTCTTGACTCCTCCGGGTAGGACTCCCCGACTAGGACTCTTCCAGGTAGGACTCCCCCACCTAGGACTCCTCCACCTAGGACTCTCCCATATTGGACTCCCACAGAAACCCCCCAGCTAGGACACCTCCCACGCCACGAAGGATTTCTGAACTCTATCTTGAGAACGTCGTTAAGAAGCTTGTAAGAGGCTGACGAGTCTAGGAGTGTGGGAGTGAGAGAGGGGTAGGAGAGGGAAGGGGGGTGAAGATGATGAAAGAGAAGAAGGAACAGCGGATAGAAGGAGAGAGAGAGAGAGAGAGAGAGAGGAAAATGCGTATTAGAAGTGAGAAAGAGAGATAGAGAGAGAGATGGGGGGTGTGTAAGGAGAGAAGAGGAGAGTGTTGGAAGGAGGCGTGGAGAAATAAGAGAAAGGAAGATAGTGTGGGAAGAGAAAGGAAAGTAAAGAGGAGAGAATGAAGAGGAAAGTAGAATGTGGTAAGTAAGGGAAGGAGAGGGAAGAGAGAATGCGTAGTTGCTGGCGAGAGAGAGAGAGAAAGAGAGAGAGAGAGAGAGAGAGAGAGAGAGAGAGAGAGAGAGAGAGAGAGAGCGAGTACAATGATAAAAAGAAAACAAGAGTAATGATGTGAAAGAAAGAGAGAGAGAGAGAGAGAGAGAGTGTGTGTCTGTGGCAAAAAGAAAGTGGCTATTGTGAGAGAGTGAGAGAGAGAGAGTGAGAGTGGTGTTGTGAGAGTCTTGTCAAAGAGTCTGTTGTGTGAAAGACTGGCGGAAATGTGCGTTGTAATGTGTGCCTCCTTGCTTTCTGCCCTCCTCACACACACACACACACACACACACACACACACACACACACACACACACACACACACACACACACACACACACACACACACATATTAGAAGCAAAAGATGAAAATTAAATATCTTTATATAAAATTATTTACAACTGTGTTTTCAACGAGAGAGAGAGAGAGAGAGAGAGAGAGAGAGAGAGAGAGAGAGAGCTTAAACTACGATACATTCCTTGTAAAGCTTTAAGCTGGACCATCGTAAGGTTGTGAGAACTGTAAGAATAATGGTTGGAAATAATGGTGGTGACGTCATGCATCATGGAGCGAATATATCACTCTGAGAGATAAGAGACAGACAGACAGACACACGGACAGACTGATTTGGCGAGAGAAAGTCAGAGATAGTGAGTGGATGTTAGTAGGAGAGATGAGAGATAGGTGGAGAGACACATTATTATTATTATTATTATTATTATTATTATTATTATTATTATTATTATTATTATTATTATTATTATTATTATTATTATTATTATTATTATTATTATTATTATTATCATTATTATTATTATTATTATTATTATTATTATTATTATTATTATTACTGTACTGTTGTTATTATTGTCATCGTTATCATTATTAAGATCATCATCGTCGTCATTATCATCAAAATAATTATAGTGTAACGTTAGATTTAGGTAGAAAGGAATGAAAGAGTCTTGGGTCTGGCAGCGGGTGATCCTAGTATAAATGGCAACGCGCCTAATGGTCGTACCGCCTGGGGGGAGCTGGGAGGAAGTGCTTCTGTTTACATTTACTGAAAAATGTACAGTGGTCTCTGTCTGGGGCTTCTGTGGCATTCTCTCAGGCTCTCTTTCTCTCTTTTTCTCTCTCTTTCTCTCTTTCTCTCTTGTCTTTGTCGACCCTGAATTTCACCCGAAAGAGAGAAGAATCACCCGGACAAAATTACGTTGTATAAAGTTTCATCAGACAAATTAACGTTAGACAGAATTTCAAGTATTCATTAAAAGACTCAAACAAAAAAATATATATATATAAATAAAAAAAATCATTAATGTATTTGTTTTATCAGTTCTTAATTTATCTTGTTTTACATTATTAGACAGTTAGTGGTGGTGGTGGTGGTTGCCTCTCTGACTACTTCGCGGGTTCGATCCCCAGGTCGGATGTGAGAAAGGTGTTATCCTGCTTGACAACCCAACATGACAGGTTTTATCTTAGGTACTCGGGGAGCCTCGTGTACTAGCGCTGGACAGTGAATAAAATGAATAAAAAAAATATATATATTGCATCCTCCCCTCCCGCGAAGTCAGCAAAGAGGATATAGAATCGGAATCCGTCTGTCTGTCTCTCTCCGTCCGTCCGTCCGTCCGACCGAGTTTCATCTGGACAACATAACTCAACAACCACCTCACGCATCTAAACGAAACTCTATATAAAAATTAAACAGGTGA